ATATTTTCCAATGAATTATCAGCTGTGTTCAATTTCTCTTCTTCGTCTAAAGCCAGTTCTTCTAGTAATTCTTCAATATCTTCACTTGCATATGATTCATCAGTATCCGAGCTTGAACTCGACGAAATTCTATTTCTAACTTTTCTTCTAAAACTCACAACGTTTTCATCACTACTCTCACTTTCAATTGTACTTTCACGCCGTCCAATGAACATTTTTGGGATAAAAAATTACTGATGTGCGTTTCAGAAAAAGTATGCTTTTCAACTGAATAATCTATACATGAAAGATGTATATGTGATTCTTTTGACTACATTGTCGCGTAAACTATAGAAAGACAACGTTCTGCGGAACGGAGTAGATCGAGTGGGGGAAGGGCTCGAGCGCGTCGCGCTACGCTTGGACCACGCTGCTCTAACCGAAACGCTTATCGCTTTCCAGGGAATGCGATAAACGTTTCCAAATCCAAAATAAGCTACTTACCAATAAGATTATTTCGGAACAAAACAATGTATCAATTACATAGGTCGATAGCACTGTAAATGTAGATAATCGACAATGCATGGATCTACTCGAGTTACATTGTTGGTTTTCCCGCATATCTCTCCGCTATCGTTCTAGTGCGCCGAGATAAAAACTTGGGCCGGTAGGAAACAAAACGTAATCACGCTTGGTACGCAACGTGTTAATTATGAAGTTGTCGATTCTGGGTATTTTTGCTGTTTCGTATAGTGTTTTGTTGCTTATGTGGTGTTTGAAGTTTGTCTCCTCTTTTCTGTGAAGTCCTGTGCATGTCCTTAGGCATTTTCTTTCGAATACTCTTATTTTCTCTATTGTGGTTGGGTTTATGTTGAACCATACGGGGCAGTCGTATGTAATTATGGGTCTTATTATTAGTGTGTAGCAGATGGTTTTTATTTTGTTGTTTAGGTGTTTTGAGTGGAACAGTTTGCTGTTTGATTGGAAGGCTTTTCTTGCTTTTTCGAGTTGTATGTTGATGTGATTGTTGAATGTCATTCGTTCGTCGAGGTTTATGCCTAGGTACTTGACTATTTTTTTGTGTGGCATTGGGTCGTTGTCGGACGTGATCCGGAAGGTCTTATACGTCTTTTTGAAGGTTTGGCATTGGTTTTTTATTTTTTTCCTAAATAGTATTGTTTCGCTTTTGAGCGGGTTTGTTTTTAGTTTCCATGTTGCGTAATAATCATTGATTTTGTTATATAGTTCTTGTATTTTGTTTTTTAGTTTTTTGGTGTTTTTACCTTTTGTGTATATGATGAGGTCGTCTGCAAATTGTATAATTCCTGTGGTTGTGTCGTCCGGGATGCCGAATAGGCTTGGTATGTCTGCGTTGTAGATGTTGAATAGGACGGGTGCTGTTACTGTTCCCTGTTGCAGTCCGTTTTGAAGTTCGATGGTTTCGCTAGTGATGTTGTTGTTTGTCGTTACGTAAATTTTCTTGTTTTGTAGCATTTGTAGCGACGCTTGCTCACGATGCTGGCGATAGGGTCCTCTCAGTTGCTCCACAAGCGTGTTTAGAAAGCGCAAATGACTGTGTGGCCTTTCCCCTCTTTTCTTTTTTTCTAATTTATACAATATATAGGAATTAATGAGGCAAATTTCCATGCCCCAAAAAAAAGCTTACGCCACCACTTTAACGATTTTCGCGGAAAATAATATGTCGATGCATATTGATCCGCCCGATCAACACCACCCATATATTTTGTGTAATTCAATATAATGTTCGGTTTCTTGACCATTATTTCCACACCACCTCGTGCAATCCTTCTGACGGTCACCATTCCCGTGTCATCTCTAGTACTCAAACAAGTGACTGTTCTTTTGTCTTTCGGCGGTATATTTTGTCCTTCTTCAGTATATATTCGTCGAAGTAGTGCTTCGTTTCCGGCTTTCGGTCGTTGGTCTCGAGAATTTCCCGGACACGCATCAATTGGTCGTCCTGTAGCTGAGCCGCCGTTATCTAATCGCCTTCCGTGATGTCCACGTGCGCGATTTCCAAGATCGGCAACGGATTCCTGCTCAGCGCGTCCACATGTGCTATTTTCGCTCCAGCGCGGTACTCGATATCGAATGTGAACTCTTGCACCTCCAACCACCGGCGCCCCACTCGTGGTAATAAATCTTTCTTCGAGAACGTCGTTCTCAGGGCGTTGCAGTCCGTTAGCACTTTGAACGTGAGACCGAGCAGGTAAACTCGGAAGTACCTCAACGCCAACACGACTGCCATTGTCTCCAATTCGTAAGAATGGTAGTGTCGTTGGTCCGCCGTGGTCTGTTTGCTGAAGTACGCCACGACCGTCATACGCCCGTCCTTCCGTTGTTGCATCAGCATTGCTCGGACGCTCAGGGAACTAGCGTCTGTGTGTAGTTCCGTTGATCGCTTCGGGTCAAAGATCGACAGCATCGGGCGCGTAATCAACATCTGCTTCACATTGCGGAAGGCCTGGTCCTGCGGCTCTCCTCAATGCCACGCGACACCCTTCCTGGTCAGCCGCGTGATCGGTTCCACGGTCCTTGCGAAGTCGCGAATAAATTTCCTAAAAAAACTCGCGAGCCCTATGAATTGACGCACTTCCTTGACTGTTGTTGGCGCCCGCATTTCCTTTACGGCTTCGACCTTCCGTTGTCCTGTCTAGACTCCTTCCTCGCTAATTTTCCTTCCGAGGTACTCTATCTTCGTCTTGAAGAAGGAACACTTCTTTAGGTTCAGGGTTAGCCCATGTGCGCGTAGGGTCTCCAGTACCCGCCGTAGTCGATCCATCTCCTCATCTACCATACGCGACGGTATTATAGTGTCATCCAGGTACGGGAACGCAATGTTGTCCTTGAGTGAACCCAGGATTTTGTCCATGAGCCGTTGGAATGCGGTCGGAGCATTCGTCAGTCCGAACGGCATTCTTAAAAAGGTCTACCGTACGCGACGGTATTATAGTGTCATCCAGGTACGGGAACGCAATGTTGTCCTTGAGTGAACCCAGGACTTTGTCCATGAGCCGTTGGAATGCGGTCGGAGCATTCGTCAGTCCGAACGGCATTCTTAAAAAGTCGTAGTGGCCTTGGGGCGTGTCCAATCCCGTGAAGTACGTGTGACCTCCAAGTTTGTCGATCTGATCGTCGATCAGGGGCAGTGGGTACTTGTCCTTTATCGTGATGGCGTTCAACTTCCGATAGTCGATGCACATCCGATATGTCTATGTGTTTCACATTGATGTGACAGTTTACGAGCTTTGAGTTCATTACTGCTTCGATCATAATCTTTGTCTATTTGTTTCCTAATACAGATACAGTAGCGGACAAAAGATTAAGACGAAATGGAAAAAATAAATAATTGATTTACTTTCCATAAAAAATATAAATACAGTGTTCTACTTTTGGTATTAACTAATTAGACATTTGTTTATACACTTACAAAAAAAATTTCGTTTTGATATTTTGCTCAGTAGCGAAGTTACAAAAAAAGGAACGAAATCTGTATAATATTTCGTCGGTCAAAAGTTTAAGACTACACAAAAAATATTAAGTTTTGGTAAAAAAATATGCACAATTTTTGTTTAAATTCAATATTTTGTCCAATATCCGTTATTTCTTATCACTTCGGTACATCTTCTTGGCATTGAATCTATGTTGTAGTTGTATGTTGTAGTTTTTTACATTGATCTACCGTAATATTACTCCAAGCTGTTTCAATTGTAGAGTAAAGTTCATTCAAATTTTTCGGTTTATAACCTTGTACTGTCTTTTTTATGATGCTCCACAAGTTCTCGATTGGATTAATATCTGGTGATGATCAGGGACGGCCACGGCAGCACGATAATATTTTCTTCTTGAAAAAACTGTTTCACAATCCGAGCCGTGTGCTTCGGATCATTATCATTTTGAAAAATAAAATCATCACTCATATTGTTGCGTGCAAAAGGTAACATTGTGTTCTTGAGTATGTCCATGTATTGAAAACGGTCCATAATTCCATTGATACGACATATCGGACCAGGGCCGCTTCGAGAAAAACACGCCCACACCATAACGTTTCCACCACCATGTTTAAGAGTTTTTAAAACGCACTGTGTTTTCAAACTTTCGCCAATTCGACGTCTAACGTACCGTATCCCGTCAGAACAGACGCGATTGAATTTCGATTCGTCAGAAAACAATACCTTTTGCCAATCTTCACTTGTCCAATGCTTATGAGCTTTAGCAAATGCAAGTCGTCTTTTTCGATTCCTAGAACTCAGCAGTGGTTTCTTTTGGGGTTTTCGTCCTCTTAAGTTAAAGTCTTCTAATCTTCTCCTAACAGTTCTAGCACTAATTTGTGTATCGTTTTCATAGTTTATCTCCGCAGCAATATTATTTGCACTACGAAAACGATCCTTTTCGCTCAATCGATGAATCCGGCGATCCATTTTCGGTGTTGTTTTCCGTGGTCTTCCGTTTTTCGGTTGATCGCAATACATGCCTGTCTTTAAAAATTTATACCAAGCTTGTTTACAAGCCGTTTCTGACCTGTTCACTATATTTGCTATTTCGGTGAAGGTTTTACTTTGCTTTCGCAGCCTTACGATTTGTTCCCTTTCGTTTTCAAGTAAATTCTTTGATTTACCCATAGTCTGTTCCTACCTAAATGAATTTTAAGCAATAAAAGGTACACTAAACAATGATTTTGACATTCCAGAATCAAAATGTTCAAAAACTGTACTCGTACTCACGTTTTACACAGATCGTCTTAAACTAATGTCCACTGTTTCCAAGTGCTAAGCGGTAACTAACTGTTGTAACTCCTACATTGTTTGTATTTAACAACTGACTGTCTGAGGTTACGAAGGTCAAACATACAGCTACGTTATTCCAAAGAGACAAACCGAATAGAAGAACAATATGCGTATAAGATGTTTGTAATCCGGTTTACAAATCATCGTCTTAAACTTTTGTCCGCTACTGTACCTTGTAGCTATTTTGTTCGAATTTTGTATTTTTCGTTTTTGTGGGTTTCTTAGCCACAGGGTTTATTGCCCTCGTTTCCGTCCCCGCCACGTGGAGGCGAACCCATATCTACTTCATTTTAGACATTTTTGTTTATTTATTTATTTATTTATTGCAGACATTTTTGTAATTTCGTTTTGGAAAGTGCACAGCACAATCTGTATATATATTACTTTTATTTTTATTTATGTTTCGTTCGAGTTTTGGATGTTTTAATTGTTTTGTTATATCTCCAGGTCACAACTTTTGCAGCAATTTGGAATCGCTTCCTGTAGCTGCAGCTTGCGCGTTCTCGCCATTGCTCTTTTACTTTTTATTACTTCTTTGCGTAATTTTGTCAGAGTGCCTGTCCACCAAGGAACGGGCCTCCCCACCGATTTTTTGCGTGGTATGGCTTGTTTGCATATCTCTTCCAGTATTCTGTTTAGTTTCTTAACGGCAAAATCTGGACTATTCGTTCTGAATGAGTCCAGTAGATTTGTCGTAAATTTGGCTTCAGTTAACCACTTGCGCTACGATTTAACTTTCGGTTGCCGTGCCGCGCTCTACAATATAACATGCGGTAAGGCGTTACATTGACGCCGCACCGCGTCTGTGAGCGCAAACCTTTAACCCTTGTGTGTATAACCGGGTACCCAGGTACCCATTTCTGTATTTCCTGTACTATTTTTTTATGGTCTTGACAAAATATCACAAAGTCGCTCTGGATCCCCATTCTTTGAACTCTTCTACGTCGATTCATGTTTTGTGAAAAACAAAATATACAATATACATATTTGAAATAATTAAGCTTCAAACCTGTATATACGCTTGTTACACAACCAGGGTACCCGGGTAGCCATAGAGGAGGAAGTATATTTAGACTAGTTATAAATGCAAATTTTACAAGTAAATTATACACAATATAAAATTCTTGATTGTATTTATTTTTTAACATAAACAGTTGAGATCGTAATTATTAAATATTAACTGGACAACTTTTACATATTGTAATAGTGTTTGCATGCTCATCGCAAACTGGTTGTGTACGCTTTTGACAGCTTTTTCTTGTTTTTCTGCGTTTTTTTATACATATGATCTGCGTGACATATGTAACACGACCCTACGACTTTTTTTCTTCCACTTTCATCTAACGAAGACGATGACGGTTGGGCAGAACTGGAAGGAATGTTTATTCTGTGTGATGGACTTAGTACACTATCTACTGCTAATTTTGTTGCAAAATGTCGCATTATCTGAATATTTGAGGCTCGATTTTGAATGTTTGGAATACAGAGATCTTCTCCTAATTGTCGTAAAAATATACGCCGGTCGTTTGTTTTTTTACATAACATATTATTGTTTGACTTATAAATAATGTAGGGGGCAAGACTAGCGATATCAATTATATTATAAAATAATGCTAATGGCCACCTGACAGTTCGCCTTTTTGTAGTGTATCTTCCTAACAACTGATCCATGGTATCCACCCCAGATTTTGTTCGATTATAAAATTCAACGATTTCCGGCTTTCTTTTTGGCCCAGAAACAACATTGCCAGTATGCATTGTTGACAATAATATGACGGCTTTTTCTTTTTTCGGCACATAGGAACAAAGTGTTATATTTTCATGATATGCAAATAAAGAAGTGTACTCTTCGCGTGATTTGGATGGTGCCATTTCTCTAGGAATATACTTTTTGTTTTTCCTTATTGTGCCTACAATTGTCAATTTCCAAGATAACAGAAATTTTGCTAAGGGAACAGTTGTGAAAAAGTTATTCGTAGTGTTTCTGATATGCTCGTGGTCGTTGCAATCAACCTTTCGAGCCTTGTCGATTTTTGCACGTGGAGTGCCAACTAAGTCTAATGGTTCGTCTTCGAAGGACCACCTCCGTATGGCGGAGGACAAACAACTATTACTAATGGTCTAAAACTTCTAGTGACCCTACTCTTGGTGTGGTCAGATGGCTTCTAATGTTCCCTTCCGCGAAAGGTCCTACGACACCTCCGTGCGAGGACGCATCGCGGGGGTGAGGCCCTCGGATAGTGTTGCGAGATGCGCCCTTTTTCCGACTCGGGTGTCAGAGTAACGCCGTGATGGTGGAATTTCCTGACTCGTGCGACTTTCGGTGATCCACGAGGGAAACGTCCACTTCGCCGGGCAATTTAATCGGCCGGCGACTTAATCAGTTCGCAAACCACGAGCTTCAGAAGGAAGCTGATTGAGTCTGGACGAGAACGATCGCGTTTTTTTTCTGGTGTACGAGTTTTGACTTTGGTCTATTTACTACGAGTGTTGAAATTGTTCTGTGTCTTTTCGGAGGACGATTCCTCCTGAGGGAAGCGCGATTTCCCTCTCTACGCTTCGAGGCTCCAATGGGGGTGAAGCACAAAATTTGACCTAATTGGTCGACTTTGTCTCCATCCCATCAGAGATAGAAACGAGGGAAGGGGCACGCGTACCACCATGCACTTCCGTGACTAACGCGAAGTCCTCGGGTTTCTCGATACTTTATGGCAGGGCCTGGCTGGTGTCTCGAGAGTTTAGCCCTAACGGCGCCATGCCACAAGTGCCGAGACTTGACCGTTCGACGCTTCAAAAGGGACTTCTATTATTTTCGCGCCGTGTTACGACCGTCGAAGTCCTTGTCAAGGTTTACGTACCTTGCGTAAGAACTCCGACGGCGCATCCTTGGTGACATAGATGGGACCTACATCCACGATTGGAAGTAGGCCATTGAAAAGGTTTATTTTACGCATTCTCGGTTTCCGGTGTCCCCTTTGGAACGTCGATGGACTTACATCTGCTACGCAGATGTATATTCATCGAGCATGTACGAGCAGGAATTTAAGTGGTGAGAATTATTATTTTCTAGGAAAACTACAAGTGCGATGCATGATGGTATTCGTCCTTTGTTACGACGTAACAGATAGGTTGAGTACATTTTTCGATAGTGGTGGGGAAGGGTGGCTGGCGAAAACTATTGGTTAAATCATAGGTGGGAAAAACTACCCGAAAATGCCACCCCCCAGACCATAGGTCACTCTCAGGTACCAAGCGTACCCTTGAGTGACGCACGCGGGAATTCCGAGTGCCTCGAACAATCACCGTAGCAGACAATAACGTTAAGACGCGCTTCGGCTCTGGTGACCATAAAATGCAAAAATGTACAAGTGAAAAAGGGGGCGAAGATTCTAAGTAGAAAACGAGACAATAAAAGGTAAAAGCAAATTCTTAGACCGAAAGGAGCACGACTGCCGTGGCGTCATAAAATTACCCTGCTACGAAACGAGCGAAGGCGAAAAATATATACAATAGAACTACATACTAAGAAATCTAAGGGTCGGGCGGCTGACATACCTGTCGAGGATTAAACACGTAGTAATGTTTCTGCCCGACTTTATACGCACCAGCCAAATCTTTTACCACTCGCTCCCCTTGATTTATTTCGCGACCCAATGTACTTTTGCCAGTGTAAATTTGCCCAGATAATGGGTAATAATTTTCAGAATCGGATAGCCACCAGATCTTGATACCATACTTAGCAGGCTTGGATGGCATATATTGCGTGAACTTAGTCCTACCTTTATATGGGAATAATTGTTCATCAATAGTTAAATTCTCTGATGGTTTATACGCTTTTGTCAAATTTGCATTCAACATTATCCATATATCTGTTATAGGAGCTAGCTTATCCTGGACTGCCCTTTCTGCTCGTGTATTTGCATCGTCGAATCGAATAAATCGCAAAATATTACGAAATGTATTTACACCCATAGCTGCCCGGTATAAAGGGTAGGAAGTCGTCTTCCACATATCGTATACGTGATCTACATTGGAGTTATTTACACCGGCTGTAATTAAAATACCTATGAAGGCGGACAATTCTTCTGTCATAAGAGATTTCCACGTTTTCAGTTTTGTGGGATTGTCGCTATTGTATTTTTGATACACAGCAGTCGCCTTTCGATTCGTGTGTCTTACAATAATGTCTATCATTTCATTTGAAAAAATAAAATTAAAAGTATCCCGAATCGATAACATGCGTGTAGATCGATGTGGACCACTTCTTTCTCGAATGATATTGTAAGATGGTGTTTGATGGTGAGATTGTGGTTCGTTGTTTCAGATGGTCCCATCCTTAGCAACAAAAACAGTTTGAGATGAATTATTATCTTCTCTTTCTGTATTTATACGATCTTCGTCGTCTTCGGGTGACTCTTCGGTCGTTACTGTATCTTCTATCTGTTCTTCGTCAATATTCTGCTCGGTGTCAGAAACTTCATCATTCAGTGGCCCCGGCAACCAATCTTCATCCTCACCATCCAATGATATATTATCAGAAGAATATTCTTCTCCCAATAATGTCGCTAAATAAATATCCTGTTCTGCCCGAGATAATCTAAAAACAATTTTACACACATGTTCGATGTGCTACTTTGGTATACTAAATTGATAATTATTTTGATGTATTATATGTAGATTTGATTTACCTTGAAAATTCTTCTGCTGACAGTTCTTCCATTTTTACGTAGGACTATAGAAATCACTTATAGAAGTGAAAAACTATATTTCATGCAGACACTTTACTATGAAGAACAAAACTGTACAGGAAACGTTTTCACGATACAGATCCTACCCGTACAAAAAACTGATTCAAACTAATTCAGTTCTTCATTTCGTCATCTAGTTCGTTTCGTGGGTTCCTATACTTGTTTATATATACAAGATAAGAGACTCTGCATCACTCTGCCATCGTCCCAAAGGTATGGAGAGCGAGGGTGAATGCATAGATGCGGATCGTAAGAACTATTGACCTTATAATGAAACTATTGTAGTTTCCGATAATATTTTCTCTCAAATCTTTTGAAACTGTACCTAAAATATTGTAGGAAGAGAAAATCGAAAATAGCGGAAATGAAAAGAAGTAAAATTATCTCTACATATCCTATGTATCGGAATAAGACACGGGGGTACCCGGGTACCCAGCAACGGTGAACATTTCGGTTGCCTACACAAGGGTTAAGCAGTGCCTTAGCGCGTTAGTAGGGTCTTACATAAAGAATTTTACACGGATATGAATGAATATTGACAACAACAATAACATTTTATTAATTAATAATCTACTTCTGTATGGTAAATTTCAAAACATTTTGGAATATGTAATGCCACAAGGCATTCCTTGCACTCCCAAGTAGTCTTGCTGCGTTTTTTATGTTTGGCGCACACTTTACACCGTCTTTGAGGATTTTTTTTAGCTTCTGTGGGTGGAATATTCCTTGGAAAATGGCCCCATTGTTTTGATTGTAATCGAAGTGGTATATCACTAGCAGGCAGCCTTCCACGCTTTGTGTATTCAGGCATACATACACTTTCTAAAATCTGTTCTGCCACATCTAATCGAAATTTTGAAAACGTGTATTTTTTGCTTTTTGGTATATTCGATGTCTTTGAAAATAAAACATAAGCATTAAAAAGTGCAATATCCATTAGGTAAAAAAAATATTTTTTTATAACTTTTTATGTATTTTCTCATAAGTGAGAAAGAAGATAAGTAGCTATCTTGGTGATCTACCCCACCCATGCCATCATTATACTCCAACACGATATTGGGCTTTGTAACAGTGATATTATTTTTCCGTCTCTTCTTCTCCACTTCCATCATTTCAATTTTTTTATGTTTCGTGGACAATAAATATATATCTTTTTTATCCTTCCACTTTGCAGCTAAAATACCTTTGCACGATCTTGAAATAGCTTCGGCATATCTTTCGGCATATTCTTTCTATTGCATCTTACTGTCCCTATGGCATTGATTTGCATGGATTGCAATTTTTGAAACAGGTTTGGCGAAGAATACCAGTTATCCATAAATAAGGTGTGTCCGAAATTAGCTATTGGCGTGCACATAAACATGGTAACATTTTCGGAAGCACTGGTGATTGAATTTTTCACTTTATCTTGGCCTGTGTATATTTTAAATATCATATAATATCCTGATTTAGACTCGCATAACTTATAAAACTTTACTCCAAAACGTGCCCTCTTTGACGGATTGAACTGTTTATATGACATTCGACCGGTATATTTCATGAGAGATTCGTCTAATGACACATATTCATCGGGAGTATAAATACTTATAAATTTTTCATTGAGATAATTGATTATAACTCGTAATTTGCATAAACGATCATCTTTATCTCCAACTTCATTATTTGAAAAGTGTAAAAAACGGGAGAGTTGCGCAAATCTTCGTAATGGCATTGTTTTCCGAAAAATGGGAGTCTCGATAATACTTCTTCTTGACCAATAGAATTGGACATTCGGCTTTTTTACTTGTGCCATCAAGATGCATAACGCAAAATGAGCACGAATTTCATCTATATTCGTATCCCTCCAATATTCTTCAGATTGTTTTAATTTTCGGGTTGCAGCTCCTATTGTTTGTCTCGCGTAACGATTGCTCTGTAACAATGATATTCCAAAAGTCTTTTGGTAAAATTTGGTTTAGCATTTGCAGAGCTGTGATTCGTTCTCCCATTTCTATGTTCATTCCAGGAACCCGTGAGTACTGCCAAATTTTGCTTTCATTTTCCTTGTTTTCCCATAACCATTCATCTGATGTAAAATTAATTTCACGATCTGCACTGTCACTTTCTTCTTCACTATCAGATACTATAATTCTACGCTGATTCCGAACAGGACAAACAATTTCCTCGCAGTCGCTATCAGACGTAATAACTAATCGCTTTCTCTTTGTACTTGTCGAAGCAATATTACTGAGATTCTTGTTATTATTCATTTTATAATATGGGTTGATAAAACTAAACTAAAAAAAATCTATTATTCAATTTTTCAGCGTTATAATAAGATGTATCGCAAACTACAAGAATTTTCGTGTATAGTCGGGGCCACGATATAGCGAGGTCGTAAAATCGGTCAGGCGTCAAAGTAAACATGTTTTAGCTGCCGGAACATTGAAATTGTGGGTTCGTTAGTCCTCAAACCACACACCAATCGTAAGCGTGCAATGTTGTGTTGAACAAGATTTATTCGTCGTTACAGAGTTCGCTGGTTTAAATGTTTAGTTAAATCGAGTACAGGGTTTCCTCAGTTCGCTGTCCCGGACTACCTGTTTTGCCATTTTTCGGGCGTCCTTATATACGCCCTTTTCCTGTGCGCGGACCGTGGAGAGTGCCCTATCGGTACACGCTTCAGGTACCTAATTTACTAATTACGCTCGCACCCTATTGGTGCGTGTTAATATTATTTGCTATTGGCGCGGGTCTAGGTGTGACTTACTCTCTATTGGCGCGCACTAGTTACACGCTACAGATACTTGGCCAGGTTTTAAAAATTGTTAACGAAACGATGTTTCATTGCAGTATGAACAATTTTTTGGATTTTCGGTATAAATATTGGAATGTATTATATTGTGGGATTTTGTTAAATACTTTTGCGTTTATTATAATAAAAAGTAACCCCCGTTCTTCTCTGCTATTTCATCAATAACATATCTTTTTTAAAATTTTCCAATTTTCAAAATTTCTAATAATTCATCTTTGGTGTAATTGTCTTCAAAAAATAAATTATATTTTAATAAAAAGTCTTGAATTTCCACCTTCGAACTTGACTTGCACGGAATTTTCTGGACCTGTCTTGAATGGTATGGTGCGTTATCCATCACTATCACACTGTTAGGCTTTATGTTTGGTAATAACTTTCTTTGAAACCATTGTTCAAATATGGAAGCCTTCATATTTTTATGGTAATCCACATTACAGTCTTTTAAATTGTAACCACACAATTCCAGACAATTTGGCACCCATCCTTCTTCACTGCCGCAATGCAAAATGATGAGTCTTTTTCCTTTACTCGTTGGTGTTTTCGCGATACATTGTGAAGATGAATCCGTCCATCCTTTTGCTGCAGTATCGTGTGTGTCAAACCACGTCTCATCCAAGTAATAAATTGCTTTATTTTGTTGTCGAAATTTGGCAATTGATGTTAGATATCTTGATTTCCAATTTATGATTCTTTCATGATCTACAATTGCTGTTCTTTTGCAGATTTTTTTATACCGAAATCCCATCTGTTTCAACCACCTTTTTAACGACGTTTCCGAAAATTTTCCTTGCGTCTGTGGTAGTGTTCTATATACAGTTTCAACTGTGGGTATTTCGTTTCCTTTGTACGAAAAATAAATTTGTTTCCTAATACGGTGCTCTAGGAAGGGAGTTAATTTTTTGTTTTTTCCGTAGTCCTTGCGTTTCTTCCTTTGCTTAATGCCAGATGTAAACAATGTCCGAATTTTCGTTGTTGAAACCTCCGTTAGTGTTGCAGCATTTTTAATGGCTTCTTCTTTTTTCATGCCGTAGATCTTCATTAAGTTCCTGCACACATTTAGACAAATATCTTGTGCGTCTTGTGATAAATGTCTTCTTTTAATAATTTCTTCACCCTGTTGTACACTATTTCCTTCTTCAGGCTGTTCATTTAATACTTGTTCACGACGGTAATCATGAGAAGAATATGAGCTTTCCCAAGGTCGAAACATTTTTAGTATTAAATCACCACTTCGCTCTCACTGAACAAGCGCAGAAATACAAATTTCCAATAGATGTTTACAGTTTGAAAGTCGAACTGATTCTAATATATTTTCTGAAAACTGCGTACAGCTAGAACAAATTAGGGTTTTTCCGTCTGGGAGAAGCCGCTTTTAGAGGTACGAGTACAGGTAAAGGTTTTATTGAGGTCTTTAATATTTTAATTTACCTGTCCGCATTATATACAAATAGGTTGTGGGGTAGCTAATGGTGGTTCATTCCGCTTTCCCCAAGACTGTTTTCGCTGAACATTGTTGTAAATTATCCATTTTCATCTCCCGTCACTAGTTGCTTCAAAAACGGTGTCTCCTCGTTTCGTTTATAGAGAGAGTCGCAAATGGAAATGCAATCCATCAGGTTTTTCTCCGTTAAATCGTGCGGAACCCATACGTCAAACCAGTTTACGTAGCCAAGCTTTACAAAATGCTCGTGGATGGTCGATTTTGATATGTTTAACATTTCTCCGAATTTACGCGTCGTATGATGTGGGTTATTCTCGATCATTGTTTTAATCTGATCTTCATCTGTGGTGGAAGGCCTACCCAGGCGTTCTTGATCTTCAAGACTGAAATCACCAGCTTTAAACCTAGCAAACCACTTCCGCACAGTTCTTTCAGCTACAGCACCTTCGCCATAAACAGCGCATATCTTGTTTGTCGCTTGTGTAGCATTTTTGCCTTTCCGGTAAAAGAAAAGCATTAAATGCCTAAAATGCACTTTGTTTGCTTCCATATTCAAAAGCGTATAAAACTGACAAAAATTAACGTATCGTAACCAAAATTTTTTCCACATATGTACACTACCGGCCATAAGTGTTTATCCACCCTCAAAATAATACAAAAACAATTAAACAATTTTTTTAATTTATTTTTTAATAGTGCAACATATATTACTAAAAACAATGTTTTTTTCCAATTTTGTTACAAAAATTAACACAATTATATCTAAATTTTAGTTTCGTCGATATTTCCACAGCGCGCTTTTATTATTGCTTCGCATAATTTCGACATCCTGTTCAATAATTTTGTGAGTGTGAGTGGTTCTATTCTAGACCATGCATCTTGTAATTGTTGCCAGAGGGTTTGTGTAGATGTTGGGGCCGCTTTTCGTACCTGTCGGTCTAGTTCTTCCCATAAAAGCTCAATGGGATTCAGGTCGGGGCTTTGAGGAGGCCAGGTCATAATTACAATTTTTTTTTCTCGTTCCAATTGTTCTAAGTATCCACGGCATAATTTGGAGGTGTGTTTGGGGTCGTTATCTTGTTGGAACACGAAGTTTTCTCCGATTAGTCGCGTTCCCGAAGAAAGGGCATTCGTCTCCAAAATTCCTCTGTAGCGTTCTTTATTCAATATGCCATCTATTTTGACCAAGTCGCCCACAGATGTGCTCGCAAAACAACCCCAAACCATAACCGACCCTCCTCCGTGTTTTACCGTGGGTGATATGCAGGATTCAAGGGTTCGTTCTCCTGCCGATCTTCGGACAAACATCCTCCGTTGTGAGCCGAATATCACAAACTTTGACTTGTCGGTCCAGAGCACTTTTTTCCAATCTTCCAATGTCCAATCTTTATGTGATCTTGCCCAGGCTAACCGTTTTGCTTTATTTTGTTTGCGTAGAAGGGGTTTTCGCATGGCAATTCGTCCATGCAAACCTGCTTTCCGTAAGCGCCTTTTGACTGTTGTCGAACTTACTGGTTCAGGGCGAAATGCATTTATTTCAGCTGTAATTTCCGATGCCATTTTTCTTCTATTACGTTTGCTTATTATTGTGATTTCCCGATCTTCTGCTGATATTTTTGGTTATTTTTGGCCGCCCTGATCGCTTTTTGTTGGATAAACTGCCAGTATCTTCATATTTTTTAACATTGTAGTCCACGGTTCTACGGTTTACCATTTTTCCGGTGCTATGATGGGACACTATTAGAGCGCGCGTTTCAATCGATAATTCTTTTCTCCTCGACATTATTTGAAATTTTCGCAAAATTTATTAAGCACTTAAAAATCAACTGTTTACTATATGAAAGTTTAATGCAGTATGAAATACATACAGTATGAAATTTGAGAAGAATAAGATGCCCGTATTATCTGCGTTCAAATTCCCTACCGACCGTTTTAAAAATTTCAGAAAAATGGGTTTCTTTACCTGAACTCTAAAATTGTCGTTTTTCATTAAAAACTGTAAACTCATTTACAGTACCTGATTGTGTATGTACAGAATATTTTGGATGGTTTTTATTAGCCTTATATTTAGGACTTAATGATACGGACATTTTCATAACAATAAAATACCTGTCATTTGAATAGTAACGAAATTTGAAGGTGGGTAAACACTTATGGCCGGTAGTGTACACACCGGGCGGAACAGGTAAAGGCTGTTTTCTCAGAAACCATTGCAGATAGCAACTTGAAACTTTTAGATGTTAAATGGTATATAGGGATTAACATTTTAGAATGTAAGACATTGTAGGGGTGAGTTCCTTAAGGGTGGAAATGGTTCCACACCCATTTTTTTTTTAAATGAGATGGCATATTAATTTTTCCATATTCGGAAAGATGTTATCAAACCTAACAACTTTTTATCTAAGGCATTTCTTTTTATTCTGCATAGTTAAGGAGTTATAGCGGAAAAACCTTACGGAAGGGGAATTTCGTGTCTGTGTCGAAATATATCAAATGAAATTCGTGGTTTATGGCATGCTATTAAGCTATTCAGCCCGAGAAGCAAGAATAATTAAAAATCTAACAAAGCAATTCTAATGATCTTCGCCAGGGTGTACTTCAAAACATACAAACAATAAATGAAAATACCATATTTTTGCAGTTGATTGTGCCATAAACCGTTCTAAAGAAGACCTAACATATGAGGCAATTTATTGTTGTCAAATGTTATAAATTTTTAAAAATTGTTGGTTTTTCTTTACTTGAAAAGCATAACGGGAGATAAGCTCTTGACTCCTTAGAAGCTGATGAATTTATAACATTTTACAACAATAAATTGTCTCATATGACAGGTCGTTTAATTAGTAAAAAGAAAAAAGAAATTTGTATCCATTCCACCAGAGATAAATCATTTGATAGCTGCTCCTGAAATAAATGTGTACTATTTCTCATGTACATGATAGTGACAGTGAAGACATGAATACAGATGATGACGAAGGGAGTAAAAATACAGATCTTCTACACACTTTCACACAATTAGATAAGATTGAACTGGCAAATGAACTGACAGAATTTTAAATATATGTATGTTTAATAAAAAACGATTGACGTTACCTACAGAATGATAAATAGCAGCAAGACGACTAACTTACATTCTTTAACATTTTGAGTAGTGAGAGACAAGGGGACTCACTCTAATAAAGCACCCCGAATTACTGAAATGGTAATTACGGAGCTTCAAATCGTACTGTAACCTTCTCGTGGTAGGCTCTGGAAACTACAGAAATTGTAGGCAAACTACAGGCGTTTTTATTAGAAAATCTTATTTTTTTAATATTATAGATACCGCTGTGAATCCGATATTTTGAATTTTGAATTTTTAGTGTTATATTCGTTATCAGCGACCTCAAAAACCCCTAATTACCAAGTTTCAGAAAAATCGGATGAAATCTTGAATTTTGGGGGGTACCTGGCCCACTGTGCACCGTGTGCATTCCAACCATATTAAAATGGTCATTTATATGGGCATTCCATCCCTGGGGTGAGGCATTGTTTGCAGCCACATAGCACAACCCCCTAACCTGAACAGACCTTTTCTTTTTGAAGCCAAAGATCGTGGCCTGGGATGCTGTAGTAGTACCAAACGAAAACAGGGCGTTAATAGTGGGCGGTTGATCGGCCAATACCGCTGTGTTAGCGTCATTCCCATACCGAAGTACTCCGTATTCATTATAGACAGAGCACGCGATATTAGGCTTCCTAGCAAGATCGGAAACTCTTGTCATTTTGAACCTCGACTCTAGCCGGTATAATGACGCGCTGACGTCAGCCATCAGAGCAGGACAAAGCCTGAGGCGTCCGGATAATCCTGGACCGCTTTCGAAGCGATAGCCCTCCATTAGGCTTTTTGCGTCCGGGGAGAAGTTAGCTCTGGGTATATAACCCAACAAATTCATTGTTGGGGACGTATTTGCAGGGTGTAATTCAGGCGGCAGCGGTGGTAGCTGCTCGTTTCCAGCACAGCTCTGTATGTTACGCATGGTGACATATGGCGCTATGTTAGTTTCATACGCGTTGTGCGAATTTGCATCCGCGACACCAAAGGTACCAGCGATGTTACCATTTGCGTTATTCTGGGGAACTGTAGCTTCTGGAATGTTAACCCTCACATTGTCGCCATTCGGTATTATATTGGTATTTATCAGGGACAGGTATTCAGCAATAGGTGTTGGTATAACCATTTCCCGCGGGATCGCCGACATGGGCTGTTCCTCTTCTTGCCAGCGGATCTCCTGGTTGACGTTCCTTGCTCGCGTTCGTTCTCCCGAGGTACTTTGTCGACTACCACCGTTTGCCTCGCAAACGCCCGCAGGAACGTACCTGCTACTTCCTCGGTCGCGATGTCGGACCGCTTAGCTACCGACGCGCGCATAACGGTACACTTGCTACCCGTGTCAACGAGGCTACCGGTCCGTTTTCCGTTAACACGAATTCCAATTTCGTACATGTTCGTGCTTGTCGTAGAATGGTTCAAAGTATTTACCTGTTTACTCGGACCACCCTCCTGTGGATTTCTTCGGCACTGCCTCGCGAAGTGCCCCGCCCCTCCGCACAGGTAACATTTGCCGCTTCTCGGGGCTGGACGGTCGCTGTTCCCCACCCCGCCTTTACCTGCTGTCCTTGTAGCAGGCGGTCTTGGCCCCCTGCATGTGCTCGGCGCGGAACGATCCTTCGCTACCTGCACGCGCGGCGGCATATCGCCCAGTGAACTCATGAATACGTACAAAGCGTCCGATTCCGTGTTCTGTGCCGAGCGCACGGTGCGGGCCACCCCAGGGTCCGTTATTCCCGCGATCACCATGTCGACGTGGTACTCCTCCCGGAATACCGCGTCCAATCCTTGTATTAAATACAATTTCTGGAAGCAATAGTCTCCCAGGTTTTGTCCCGGCCGCGTCTGGTACGCCATGGCCTCACTCAGTAACCGGCTGAACGGGACCACCTTCCTGAACCGGCCCGCGAGCAGGACCTTCGTTTCCGCCCACGTGGCGGTAGCTCGTCGGCGGGTGTCGTACCACTTCCGGGCGTATCCTTGCAGGCGCGTGGCGATCAGCTTCGAAACCGCCAGGTCATCCCATCCGTAGCGACGAGCAACGTCGTCCACCAGCTTAACCCACTGGAGGATTGTGATATCGCCCTTCGCCGGGTCGAACACTGGGATGAGTGCTTCATCCCCCAGACGGGTGCGTGTCGGCGTACGAGCCCGCGTTGATGAGCCCCCACTGATGCTCGCGATCATCTGCTCTAGTCGGTCCAATTGGTTTCTCTCGCTTCCGAACGGGCGAGACCCGCGTCTGTCCGGCGACCGCGAGCGTGCCGGTGTCCGTGAGCGTCGACGCGTCCCCGATCGCGAGCGTGCCGGCGTCCCCGATCGCGACCGCTGTCGCGAACGAAGGCTGTCTTCGAGCAAACGCTCCAACCGCGCGATTCGCGCACCACAATCATCTTCCTGCCTCCGTCTTCGCGAGTCTTCTACGGAGGGCTCGCGCTCCTCCCTCGGGCGTGCGACGGATTCACTTCCCCTACTCATATTGTTCACACGTTTTCGTACAGCACGCGATTCTGGTCCCACTCCTGATTTGTTAGCAAGACTTAAGTAAATTTAACACAGGATTATTAACCAAAAATGTATTAAAGTGATAAGCGACTGCTAAATGCTTCGGTGTCCGTCTCGCTCGACGGCCATTTCCAAAGTGTCCTCTCTGTGTCGTATCCCGCGTTGCTCCGAAAAACCATTGGAGCCCCCTCGTTCGACTTTCCGGGGAAAGGGCTTAGTTAATGGCACCCTCAGGTACCCGCGCTCTTTCTCTTCCTGGGCGACAAAGTCCAGGCCACCACTTCGCCGCCGAAATCTCGCATTTCTTACAGATATATATTTTATTAAGCAATAAAGAAGTATTTACAAGGTAACAAGTAAAATTTGCAGGTGTTACAAAAAATACTGAGGAAAAAAGTATTCATACACTCGTTATTTTATCTTAAAAACCAAAATAAATTAAGAATTAATATTTGGTTGGGTACCCGTTTGATTTTATAATTGCTTCTAAACGTTTAGGCATAGAATTAATTAAATTATTTGTTACTATGTTATTTATTTTTCCCCATTCTTGCACTAAAATATGTTTTAAGTCATTTTTATTTGTTATTCGGTGTTTCTGTATTTTTCGATCAAGCTCTCCCCATAAATGCTCTATAGGATTAACCCTTTGCACTCGGGGCCTTTTTCGTGCGGCGCACCAGCAACTCGAGACGTTTCGCAGCCTTTTTGACGCATTTCTTACCAGTAACTTAAAATCATTACACACACAAATTAATATGAGGGGAAGGGTAGGAGAAGACGAAGGTTAATAAAGCCGTACTCTACACCCTTTCAAACCTCGTTTTAATTAGACGCGGAACGCGTGAACATTAATTGCTAGCGCAAGTAAAAGCGATGAATACAGTGAAATAAAATAACGGTGTGAGGCGAACGATTGACGTTCTGCCGATCGTCGTTTTCGACTGTCTTGTTTCCGCCGGTTTTTCGGGTTATATGCCCCTGTCCTTAGACAAGGACAGGGAGCAAGCCGCGCTACCGAAAAGCGCGGGCGGAAAAGCGCGCGTAACAAAAAAGGCGCCAACTTTCACCAGAAAGTTGGCTGGTCAGGAAAAACCCTGACCCGTGCGAATCTGGCTACCAGATGCGAGAACTGACCATAGCCAGACTCGCACGGCCTTGGCGGAGGGCATACAGAAGTCATTGGCGTAGCTACAAATGTATAAAATTTTTATATTTTAACATTTTATATATCTTTACACTTTTATAAACATAATTTCTTAAATATTAGTCTGTGTAATTTTTCTTTGTATGATATTTCATGTAACAATTCCCAAGATGCATGCCCGGCTTGTCGGGGCAAGTATTACAATAATATGTCGTTTGATGCCTTTTTCCGGGTTTATTTCTTTGAGAACAGATTTTGCAGTCCTTTCTAACTCCTGTTAGAATATTGTGTAGCTTTCCATTCAAGCGGATATCTTTGGAATCGGAGGTTGAAGTCGAGGCTCGGTCGCGTGGCTGGCGAAAATCTCCAGTCAATTTGTGGACTAATGTTTTCAAATATCGCAAGTGATTAAGCGGCTGTTCGCTTCTCTGCTGTTTAGTGGCTTTATATAAAATATATGAATTTATTGAACAAATTTCTAAACCCCAAAAAAACAGTTTACGCCACCATTTTAGCGATTTTCTTAAAAAACAGTACGTTGAGGCATACTGATCTACACGATCGACACCGCCCATATGTTTGATATAATCTATTACTACGTTAGGTTTCTTGACGGTCACTTCTACTCCACCTCGCAAAAATTCATTTTACAGGCGTCATTCCTGCATTGTTCCAGTTAGTCAAGCATGTGACAACCCTCTTGTCCTTCCATGCTAAAACTAATGTATTTCTTTTCCGGTATGCTACTGTTGATTTTTTTTTCGAATTTTGTTCTTTTTATTTATTCTGGTATATGCTTTCTGTTTGTTAAGATAGTTCCTGCGAGATGGCATTTCAATTTCAATAATTCTTCAGCCAAGATATAGCTTGTGTAATAACGATCAGTGAACATATGATATCCTTGAGCACCAGGCATTTTTTCCAGCAGCATTGTATAAAGATGCAATGGTATTTTCGTTGATACCGGAAGTGTCTGCCATCGTATAAACTCTGATTCCCCATTTGGTTGGTTTCTTCGGATTGTACGTTATGAAAGAGATCCGATCTTTGAACTTGACCGTAGATTCATCCACACAAATCTCTCTTCTCGGTGTAAAATACTTAAAAAATTTTGAATTTATATAATCAAGAAAACAGCCAAACAGTTGTAAGCGTGTTCGTGGTCCTGCATCTTGTCTTTGGATTGTCTTTAGATGAAGCATCCAAAAAATCTGATTGAATCTATCTCTCGTGAACTTGTTCGAATAAAAAGGGATGTAGCTGACATCATTCCGTGACCAATATTCCTGCAAATTTGCCAACGGCATTGTCCCCATATTTATTATAACACCAATGAATGCCCACATTTCTTCAATAGTTACATTCCGCCAATTTCGCCATATCGAGTACGGTGATAATGTCTTTCCTTCTAACTTTTTTGTAGCATAATTATTAGTTTCAATAACTATTCCATTCGCCAGTTTATTAGTAACAAAGAGTTTTAAAAAATCCAATGGTTCTTTCTTATCTGGTGGTGCGTGCGGTCCTGCAGTAGTGTCGCCGGCTATAAATGGTATTCTTGACGGTATTTCTTCAGATTCAGTGCAACTAATCCATTCAGTACTGTCCGATTGTGAGTCTTCTGTAGAATCAGTATCGCTGTCACATTCACTGTCTATTACTCGTCACTATCGTCACTACTGCTGTTATTCTCTGTATCGACAAGCTCTCTGTGTAGAGACGTAATTTCCTCGTTAAGCACCGTGAAATCGAACTCATCTTCACTTGAACTTATTTCAGTATTACGTTCCATGTTTTTAGGGATCAAAAACTTTAACTTTAGTAGTCTCTCTGCCACGACTGTCAGGTTCGAACTAATGCCGAAAATGTAGTCCGGTTCGTGGTTGCGGACTAATTTCAGATAAGAAAGTCTTATCTCCATTTTACACTTCATAAGATTATACAGAAAGAGCGTAGGAACCCGTGTCGAAGAAACTAAACGTAAACAGTTACTGTCGCGCATCGAGTTACCGCAGCAAACCAAGTGGTGAGCGAGAGTCACCTCTCGAGTTGCGGCATCAAACCACATGGTAAGTGAGAGTCACCTTTCAAGTGCAAAGGGTTAATATGATAAGCGGTTCCGTCTTTGCTTCTTAGTCTCCATACGCCCCTCCCTGCTAATCTTATTTGGGCGAATGTTCTCTTGTATTTTATTGGGATATTCAATTTCAGGTAAACATCCAGTTTAGTTCCGGAGAGGTCTTTTATGTTTTGATAAATAGGGCTGTAGTTTTGTCATTCTGGAAAAGCATTTCTTTGACTTTATTTAAGATTACTTCGTCTTTGTTGACTCGTTTTAGATTTGCTGTTTCGACGATTTCGCCGTCACAGCCATATCCCTCCAGTATTGCCTTTACTTGGGTAAACCAGTTTCTTCTTGGGTCCAGGTTTCTTGCGTCCATGTTTATAAGCTTTTCCAAACATCTTTTGGGGAATCTCTTGTCCCTCATATTTAATATTCTGGTCCAATAATTGAGAATTCTTTTCATAATTTCATATTCCAGGTTTACTCTACCTACTTCTAGTCTGATTATGTAGCCTGGAGTGTTTTTTGGCACGTCTAAGAGTCTATTAAAGAATTCTGTCTATTCTTTTTCCACTTCTTTTAAATATCTAGTCCCCCATATGCTAATTCCATAAAATAGAGTTGACAGAGTTACTGTGTCAAAGAGTTTGTTTGCCGTTTCCCAACTAGTGCATTTTGAGATAACTAACGGTTTCCATATAGCTCCTATCGCTATTCTTGCCTTTGATATGGCGTTTTTTACCTCCAATGAGAAGGTTCCTGTGGATGTAAAATTTGTTCCTAAGTAGAGGTAGCTCTTCACGTATTCTATTGCTTTACCATTATAGTAAATACGTTTCTTCTTGGTTTGCTTTCCTGATCTACTACATGGCAATATTTTCGTTTTCTCGGTGTTAACTTCGATCTCGTTTTCTCTACAGTACTCTTCTAATGTTTTCAGTTTATCTTGTAGGTCGATGAGGTTATTGGCTGTGATTACCAAATCGTCGGCGAAGAGGAGAAGTTCCATGTTTTTGATCACTCCAGTGTGGCCATGTTGTACAAACAATTTGTCGATGTCATATAACATTACCGAGAATAGGGTGGGGCTCAGTGTATCTCCTTGTAGTACTCCTTTTGTGATGTCAATTCTATTAGTTAGTGTGGTTCCTGATTTTACCCTGGTGTTAGCTTTTTCATAGATCTTTTTGATTGTATTAGGGGGACCGAAAAGTAATGTCGTTTTCTTACATTAAATTCAAACAGATAAATTCTTAACAAGTTTTTATTTCAATCACCCTCGTTATCAACAACCCTTTGCCATCTAGTGTGCAAATTTTCAATGCCGGATCGATAAAAATCAATTGGTTTTTGAACAAAATATCTGGAGATGGCATTTTGAATATCATCCAAATTTTCAAATTTTTTGCCACTTAGAAAGTGTTGTAGCGATCGGAATAAATGAAAATCCGATGGTGCGATGTCGGGCGAGTATGGTGGGTGAGGCAGTACCTCCCACCCCAATTCATTAATTTTTTCCAGGGTTCGTCTTGCGCAGTGCGGTCTTGCCTCATCGTATTGGAGAATAACGCCTTTTCTGTTGACAATCGCTGGACACTTTTCAATTAACCCTTTCGCGGCGGAGCGCTCAGAAATGAATTGCGCTCTAGGCAGCCGGCGTGACGGTGGAAGATCGACCGCGCGGACAACACGATACGCGAGTCGTTCCTAACGCGGTGTGCGGAGCCGATTTTGCTAGTCATTTCCTTGAGGCGGCTGGCCGGCACGCCGATCAAACAATAATATTAATAATAATAACAATTTTAGTAATCTTTAACAATCTTTAATAATCTTAGATAATCTTTAACAATTTTTAATAATTTTCCTTTGTATGATATAATTTAAAGCAAGGTTCAGTACATAATCCAACGTTACAGTCTTTACATTCGAATCGTGTTTCGGTTCGCTTTTTGTGTTTGCTGCAAACCACACATTTCCGCCGACCGTTTTGCCGCTTTCCTGTGGGATTGGTATATTTGGATGGAAAATGTCTTGAAACCAGTCGTAAGAGATTATCTTTGGATGCAGTTTGGCCTCCAGACTTATTGCTATTATACATATATTTTCATTTGGATATTTAAGTAGAATTTCTCGAATGAGACGTAAATGAAATTTCACAAATGTTATATTCTTTTTGGACGTATTAGGTGTACAAATGAATAATCCAATTTTTTCAGCTACATTCAAGGTTTATTTTAAAAGAAAGTAAATTGAATTGTTCAATCAAAGTATTCGCCGTTGCTTTCTATAACTTTAAGCCATCTTTCAGACAGCTGATGAATTCCATTTCGGAAAAATGTTACGTCTTTGGACGCGATAAAGTCGTCAAGCCATTTTCGGATCTCATCCGACAAAGCGTGTTGCATCGACCGGAACAAGTGGTAGTCAGATGGAGCAATGTCTGGTGAATACGCCGGGTGCTGCAAGACGTCCCAGCCCAGACTCATTATGGTGTCTTTTGTATTGGAAGCAATATGTGGCCTGTGGCGTTGTCATGCAACAATATCACTGGACGTTCTCCTTTGCCAGTATACGGGCGTTTTCGTTCCAATGCTTGACTCAAGCAGATTAATTGACGTTGGTAGCAGTCCGCAGTAACTGTTTCACCCGGTTTCAACAACTCATAATAGAGCACGCCCTTGATATCCCACCAAATGCAGAGAAGAACCTTCTTTCCGAAGCGATTGGGTTTTGTGACCGATGTTGATGCTTCGCCGGGATTTACCCATGACTTTCTGCGTTTCGGATTGTCATAGAG